TCGACGTGCGAGGCGCGTTTGGCTTCGGACAAAAGTCGTCCGCCGAGAGAACTCGATCCAGGAAAACGGAACTCTCGGCTCCATTGTATTATCGATGTCGACTTCCGTCCTTGAATACCCTCGCTTCCGCTCACGATGTGCCGCCAGCCGGATGTTGCGGGCGATACCCTGTCGAAATTATCTTCCCGAAGAACGTCACGAATCAGTCAGCAAATAGTACACTTTCCAGCGAAAGATACAGTATATCACAATGATCATTTCATCTTTGTTTGATACTAACAAAACAGTAAGAATATGTATAATGATTGTCACTGTGTCATCCGTGTCTCTTGCCGAAAAGCATCCAACACTGCATTCTTTTTTATATATTTTCACTGTCTAGCGTCAATTTTTCACCAATTCAACTTTCAATGTCAACTTGAAAACACGTGATCATGTTGACGTTACTTTTCAGCGTTTCAGAAAATGGTGCCTTCATATATAACATAATTGTATTCGGCGAAAACTTTGTACGACATTCACTAATTCACGTGATATTTAGAACTATACTCTGTTTTCGGTTAAATAATAATAATCCAGTTGAAGTTCACTGAACTCATCCTGCGGTTTGTATATACACATATAGATATACTACATATATATTTATTTATTTACATGCATATATCCTGTTGAGATAAGGATGTGCTGGTAAATGCGCTGCAGTTATGAATTTTGATACGCTTATCAAGAGTGCATGCCGTGCGGTGTTATCATTATAATTTAAAGGCGTTAAAGCCGGAGATCTTTGCCTAATGCATAATGCTTAAAGCATAAAATATCAACCAATGAGAGTCTTTTATTTCAGAAAAGAAGGAAATGGAGGACTTTTATTGATTCATTTGCTTATGCATTATACTTTATGCAAGAATCTATGCTCCTGCCCTTATTCAGGAATAAAAGATGAATGAACGCTTCTTAGAAAGGACTGACTCCTCTGAGGACACGGCCAGCGAACCCTTAAAATAGGTGGAGAATTCCCCGATTAAACGGTCCCCGACCAGCTGACAGGAACACTACGCGGCATCATGAACCGCAAAACCGGTTCGCGAAACGCTTGTGGGAACAAAGACGGGTTCCGTTCGCGGCTCGCTCTCTCTGACGTCACATGGCGAAGCGGAAAGTGGGTGGGTGGGTGTGCGAGGTTGTCGAGTCAGTGAGGACGGTCAGTGATCGCTCCTTGGGCTGGATCTTCTTCTACGAGACAACTCGCCTGTTCCGGAAAGAGGACTCGTCAAACACGCAGAAACCGTAAGACATTCTATTTCTAAGTAATTGAGGAGATACCATGAGAGATCTATGACTAGACGATAGTAATTACTTTAACAGCACTGTATGCGCGTGTGTTTAATAAATTATTTATTCATCAAGTTACGTTGTAACTAAGTTAATAAATAGGTAAGAAAATGAATAAGTGAGAAAACTCAATCGTAAAGACTTCAGATTTCAAGGACGTAAATATACTTTGATTAATTCTCTCATTGAATGTTAAATAAATCGATAAATCAAGGTTTAAACATTTATTGTAGATTAGAAAGTATGTTAATAACCGAAGATCAAGATTTCAATATGACAAAGTGAAACTTGTGGGAAACGCTGATTCCTTGAATCATATCCGACGCAGGTGATACATTGTTTGAATGCACGCAGCATTATGCAATTTACATTGCAATAACGTTTCGTCACGGTCGGCAATTTAATGCGTCACCAATCGTTTTCAGTGACTCAGATCGGAAAGGGGAAAAGGATCCTTTCCTCGAACAGGTAAATCAACTTCAGTCCATAGTCATGACCGGCACTTCTCGATCGCACGATTGAACGCGCGCACGCGAGAAAAAATCCTCTGAGAATCTTTTCTCCTCGTCATTTCGATGATCGAACAACATAATATATCCCGATTACGAGCAAAAAGGAAGAATACGAGATGGAACTGTAAGACAAACTGGTTATAACAGATACGAGAAGGAAAGAAGTACTTTATCCGCGGCTATTGAGAGAGAAAAAAGGAGTCGCGGATGAGAAAGTAAACAGACTGAGAATCTCTGCAATCGAGGAACGAGTGATTCATGAAGCCGCAAAGAAAAAAAAACAAAAAAAGAAGGAGAAGCAAATAGTATCCCAAAAACAATATGACTTACTTTCTTCATTTCACTCATTCCGTGATGATGACGATAAAAAAGTATCCTATTCCGCTAGAAATATTTCTCTTTTTGGTTTCTTTTTTCTTACTCCTCCTCTTTCTCTCAAAGTAAAAATGTTTATATGTTCCAATAACAAAATAAATATCAAAAGCGGAATACTGCAGAATGTTGAAATACGCTTATCAATTGAGCCAAATGTTTCATGCAAAGTAACCAACGAGATAACTTGGAAATTTCAAGGTAGTTTCGTGAGTTGTTTGCTCCAGTCTCCTTTGATCGAAAGAGAAAAGAGAGATAGAGATAAAAGCTACTTCTCTTATGCATGATTATGCAGAAATGGAGAAAGCATTGATCGAAAACAATCATGGCGTCAGAAAAAAGTTATTCTTGACAAAAAATTATTTTTCAGTGATCATAAATAAGATGAGATCGAAATAATTGCGAAGAACTGCAACATCATGCACGTCGTTTCTTACTCATTTAATTCAGATTATACTTCGCGAAAAGTGTAAGTACAATGTAAAATTTTTGCTAAGATTCAGATTTAAAAAATTATATAAACTTAATCACGTTTTGATATAAATAATAAATAATTCAACTACGCAAGAACAAGTTCAAAACAATTCCCCTTTGATATATAAAGTATCCCAGTAATACACGTATCCCTTTTACAAATCTTCAACGGTTCAAAGCCCTCCCACAAAGGGCTCGCATTGCGTTGGTCCCCAGAAATGGTAGAGGAACGTCGTTGACACATAAAATTTATCACGTAAGGAAAACTACTGTTTTTCCTTACGCCACTCCACTTCGCTCCATTCCACCCGTAAAATTCTACTTGTCACCTTTAACCTCGATTTCAATCGACAACAACTGACGCTTTGTCTCATATAGTAAGAACTGTGTATTATCTCGCCGGGAAATAGCATTTAAAGATCTCGGTCATCAGATTACATCGGAATGTACAAGAATTGTAACCACAAACAAAAACTTCTTCTTTGAATCGTGATAGTATAAAAAGTATTATATGAATGTCCTTCAAGCATTACCATATACATATTAATATTGTTAATTAGATGTATAAATTATATAAAAAATGTATATAATCATGAATTATTAATTAAGAATATTAGTTCGATTTTCTATTATTCTGTATTATTATTTAAATATAGATTTCAATTTAATCTCTTTTAAAAATATAAGTCATGGAAATAAATATTGTGATCGAATACATCAATCGAATTAAATCGAGGGCGATGTTTCTTTTGCTTCCGCTATCATCATGCTCGAAATTTTGATGAACATGCAAAAAATAAAGAAAAGAATAGGCGATAACAAAAGTCGTGCAAGGGGTTGAGGTGCATGTAGTCTCTTTGTGAGAAACTATCGTCGACACGAAAGACTGAATCGTAAAACAAGGATGTCTGATGAAAACGCTGGGGGATGCTGGAAGCGAAGCGAAGGAGCTCAAGCCAATGAGAAGCGATATATCTCTTCGTGCTACGCCTTCCTTGTGGAATTCAACGGATTCGTCCATTGAAGGAAAAGTCGGTCAACGAAACACAGCTCAGACCGTAAGCTCGCCATAAAATGAGCTTTTATTGAATGCGCGATGAAAACAAGCGTGACGACACTCTGAAATCAGGACAGTTGCAGGAAATTGAAGCCGCTTTGCAGCCAATACTTTTCGATCAACTTCTACTGTATCGCATCAACTTAGTATCGATCACAAAACGAAATATTTTGCAGAAGTATCTAAAAATTTAGCTAGATATAAATCTGCAAATGTGTGTATGAATTTGTTTTAGATCTTCAAAATAATTTTATAGAATGCTTAAACATTGATGTCAATGCTGTGATAAATTTTAATATCTTAACAATCAGCTTGAGCGTTCTATAAACGCTGATTTTGATAATCTGAACAAAATTATTTTCAGATTTGTAACTAGCTAAATTTTTAGAGATTTCAGTAAAATCGTTCTTTCATACATAATAGATTTCTCTGCACAAATCTAGTACATGCGACATTAATAACAAATTTTGAATTGAAAATTCATTCTTTCCTCGAAATCATTTCATTCTATATCCACAAGTTAAATAGTTTTCCCGTCAGTATGTAAAACATATATTACTTTTTTATTACAGTTAAAAACCGCCACTCGATACAAATACCTTCCTAAATAATAATGGATACGTATAATTAAACTTCTTCCAAAATATGGCGAAAAGTTGGGAGGCAGCAGATGCATCCTCAACAATTATTGGACTCGCGATGCGATAAACCGCCGACAAACCGCAGGGAAAAGCCAAAATTGTTTCCCCGCTCGTTCTGCCGCCGTTTTGGAGTTTAGAGATTCATTCCTCGATGACGAGAGTTTACCGCGTTCAGTTCCAGCAAATATTCATTGGGACGCTCGATGAATTCAATTTTACAACAACGATTTGAATGCAGATCGCTTCGGTAACAACTTGGGAGTATGATACACTAACTAACATTCTACAATAAAATCATCAATGAAAGTATACATGGGGGAAGTCAATCTTTTCCGCAATCAAATTCTACAATATTATATTCTGTAAATAGACAGATACATGAAATCAGAAATTGGTGAATCCGCAAACATCTCGTTGGTTAATCTACGAATTGAATAAACTTTGTTCCGTCAAACTTCATTCATGAAGGAAGTCTTTCGAATGTCGTTGACCGGCAAAATCGGACAAGTCTCGCGGAATAACGTTTGTGATCGATCGATTAGTCGCATGATCGGCCGAGCAGTGACCGGAAAACATCAGAGACAATGAAGAAGCGACGGAGGTGTGGCTCACCTAGACCCATCTTGCGCTTGAGCTTCTTGAGCACTTTCATCTTGCTGCGCAACGGTGCCAGGATGTTGTTGTCGCCGCTGTTGTTGTGCTGCGGCGACGCGCTTGGCGGTGCGTGCTTGCCGTGATGGTGATGATGATGGTGATGATGATGGTGCTGATGGTGATGATGGTGATACGGCTCGTAGGGTTGTTGCTCCTGCTGCTGCGACTGTTGCACGCTCGCGTTGGAACTGCCGCAGCAGCAGTGACAGGGGTGGCTGCTTTTGCTGCCCTTGACCGCGCACTCTCCGGACACCCCCATAAATGTGGCCGTACTGCTCCCGCGAGTCAGACGCGAAAAACCGCGACTACAGGTGTATGGTTGAAGACAGGAGTATAAGTATAGGGGGGAGCGAACGGTCGCGGAATCGAGATACGAATAATCTACTTTCGATGCTTTCTCACTGGCGAATCGCACTTTCGGACACTGACCGCGCAAAGATAAGATTTACTCCCTCAGCTTTTCTTTCACAACACTATACTCGGTCGTCAAAGTCGTGAAACTACCCTAAACGAAGACCCTCAACGTGAAGGAAATTTGATGGAGAAAACGACCGATATGAGAATTAAATGTGACTCCGTAATCCTTTCCCGTTCCGACCAACTGCGTCGTTTATTTGGTTAATGCGTGGTTTAACGGGGTGGACGTTGCGAAAGAGACGGAAGGGACTTGCGAACAAGACCGCGTGTCACGGCGACGAATGGGGCGATCTAGCACGTAGATCGCAGATCGCCTGCGTGCCCCGTCGAGCGCCCTGGGACGACTGACTGTTTTCTGTCGCGAAGCGCGAGAGTATTGCCGCAACGCGCGCGAGCCGGCATCCAATGAAACCGGGCGGATCCCCACCGTTCCCGGAGGTGGAGGTGCATGGAGGGGGTAGACTGGCACCTGGTGGACAGCTGCCCTTTACCTGGCCGCGATGCACCCGGCCACCCCAACGCACGAGATCGGGAATACATCGCCGTCCAGAGTTAGGGGTATACGAAGCGACTGGAACAGAGAGGACTACGACTCCTCTCCATTAATTTCGACCTCTAGACTAGGCCGTCAAAGTTAGTTCGCGCGATTCTCTTTTCCCGTGAGATTCTAGGAATACAATTCTGTTCTAATGACTGAAACTGTCGTTTCACAATGAAAATGATTAGTGAAAGAACCTCTCCGATCGTGTAATAATTTAATCAAAAGGTTTGTGTATTCATAGTTGTAGATCGATTCATGATTGATTCTCATTTCAAGCGAGCTAGATTTGAACCAAAGATTGAACCAATCGGATTTATTAAATTGTGATTTGAGAAGCGTTTTTCAAATAAAAGGTCGATTTAAACCTAACTCAAATCGAATCTCCAATTAAGTTACGCAACCGTAAGAGTATTATCATTTGATTGGAAACTTGAAAGGTGAAAAAATGAAATAGCTGTCACTCTTTTTAACTTGATAAATTACTTCTACCGAATCGAATACTAATAAATTCACGAACGCCCTGCAACGCCTCCGTTTTGGTTTCCCGACTTGGAAATGTGCGCAACTCGAAGCGTATCGAGAGCAAGATCGTGTTTCCATGGGATTCAAGATGCGCCTCTCATCCCATGACGACGCGGACCAAGATCGTCGCGCAAACTACAAATTACATAATAACAGATAAAAAAAGGAAGAAAAATGATATTCGTGGCACGACACGGCGTCACATACGAAGAAACTTTATATACAGGTACCCATATCCCTTTAATCCGTCACGCGCGGAGACCACGAAATTTGTTCAATCCCTTGCGTCCGATATTTCATTTAATTTCCATGCGGGCACTTTCAGAAACGATGCAGAAATGATTTATCGGTATAAGAGAGGATTTTTAATCACGATTAAATTGAAGGCAGTTGCATTATAGAAGAAAATATATCGAAAGAGAAGAGCGCGATCTTCTCCGAGAAAGAAGAGCTAGGCTTTTTCTGCCGGATGAAATTCAATTTGCGCGAAGGAGACACCGAATTGACTTACGCGCGAAAAGAAACATCATTACGGCCTAAGTAAAGGGAGAGAGAGAGTTATTGGATCTGTATCGAGATGATGAGATGAAATCGAAGTCTCGCCAATCGATACAACGGATACTCGCGAAAATTCGATGCTTTTTATTTCCGACATAATAGAAACTTTAATAATATAAACGAGACTAATATCATAGCATTGGACAAAAATTATAGGTACATTAAAGTCGTTGTATACTGATCTAATCTAAATGTAAAATTAAAATGTTTGTGAAAAGGCTGAATATGTTTTTAAACAACTAATATCGAGAAACAGGGCAATGAGCCAATAAAATTGTTAATGCTTTTTAAATTAATCTAATATATTGCGAAGAATATCACGTAATTATGGCGTTTCGTCCCAATTCCCACTACTGAACTCATCAGTAAGGTATTGTAGTGGAAGCATACCTTAGACGCCTTCTTCGCAATATATATATTAGATTAATTTAAAAAGACCTTAACGATTTTATTGGCTCATTGCCCTGTTCTCTATATTAGTTGTAAAATTAAAATGCAAATACTTCGAAATACAAGGTACGTATTTTATTAAACAGTAACTGAAGATTTTGCAGTTTAATTACTTGTTTTTATATTTATATCAGATACTTTGCGCTACATACACACAATTTATTTTATGTGCACTAATCCATCCAAGCAAATTCGCTATAAAAGTCAATTAGTATGAAGGAGGGAGAGGAAAAAGAATAACTACAATGAAAATACTTGCTAATACATGTTGGCGCAACCCCTTCGTATCGATGACCTTGTTCGCAATTCTCCCCCCCGTTTGCTTTTGTATGTCGGTTACGACGCTAAATGACTCGTATTCACAGAGACCCCATCGTCGATAACTCAAATTTCGCCGACAGGTTGCGGCATTCGCGCAAGGTGCATCCGATGTGCAATATTATGCACCCTTGCGAAGTGCCTACGGTGTCGTTACGACGCGACGGTAACGGAAAAACACCGCTGCTACTTTATTCCTTCGTCCCCTTTATCTGCCCTATCGATTTCGCGTCTACAAAAGAATTATGCAACCGCGATCGAAAAGGAGAGAGAAATATAACTGTTCGTGAAACAATGACCCTCGACAACACCGTATCACTTTGTCAACCATTGTTCCAACAGTTAACGGGATAGTCGCGACGTCACTACTGAACGCAACGTAATGTTCGTTTTACATCACACTCGGATAATTCTCATTTGTGACGTCATCAAACTCAGTTGAACGTTCCTTTTCATTCTGACAAGTGAGATTCAACTGAGTTTTTACCAATACAATCTGCACAAGCTCGAGAGCGTGTATGACACTATAAAAATGAGATTACAGAACTTGTGTCATCGTATATAAGATAACTTTGTCACCAAGGAAGCAAGTATAGTGACGTCATTATCTAAGTATCGAATATTCACGTGACTTTCGACTCAGTATGAATACTTGCGTGGAAATAGAAAGTAACTATTGTTTTCTGGAAGGCGCGAATGCGCTCGGTAGCCGAAAGTCAAATCAAAACCGACCTGCTCGACCGCGATTCTCGAAATGAAAAGGAGTTTGTCACGCTGCGCGGATTTCCTCTCGCTCTTGTGTGGGTATGTCGCCGGCATTTCATTCACGGCGGGAGGTAGGAAACGAGCCGGCATTCTCTCTCTCGTATACGGATGGGAAATATGCCCACGGCACCGTGGCCACGGCTTCCTTTCGCACATCCTTTTCGTCTATTTGTACTCGACGTCTCCTCTCTTGCATAAACGATTGCGCGCGACAGTAGCAACGGGGGCGCCGCTCGTTCGTCTTCATTCATCGAAATTCAATAATGTAACAATAGATGGGTGTCGGAAAGCTTCTCGAGATACGGAAGTGTTTATTTCAAATACACGGAAACAATCATTCCGCGTTGCAATAATTTTACGTAATTATACGTCGGAGATAATAATAAAATATAGACCGGTTGTATTTCTTCTATTACACGCGATAAACAGTTCTCTTTAATGAACGCGACAAGTACTCGAGCCTTTCATACCCGTGAGCGATTTAACGATTTAATTACACAACGCAGCAGTTCCGTATAAGAGAGAATAATTGCGAGACGCCACAGACACGTCCGAAAGTATGCTTCTTACATCGCCACCTCGCAATTAATTCCCCGCTCGTCTCTCATTATATCCCCGCGGACGTGCATTGTTACTTGCACACGCGCGCGCACGCACGCACGCGGCCCATATGCAGCTATTTATATGCACGCGTGACCGCGCGCGCGAGGCGATCACGTCCTTTCTTCGTTGCGTCGCTATACAATGATAATAATAATACACCTCGTTGACCGCAAATACATATAGACACATTTCAGGATGCGAGCGCAAAGAAAAGTTCTTTCCCGAAAATACTTGCGGGAAAAAATTTAACAGAGACTTGACTTTTCCCTCGTTTGGAAGAAAATATGTCTTTTGTCGCCATTTATCGTAAAAATCTGCAGAATCTAGATTTGTGCGAATTAATTTTTACTGGATGGAAAGGTCACCATAATTGGCGAGTATAATGCCGCAAAATTTTTTTTAACATGGAAATAATAGTTTTGTTAAATTATCTAAAAATAAACATTGTTAAGATATACCGTATATTTGAAAATAGTTTTAATAGTCGAATAAAATTATTTTCAGATCTACATCTAGTAAAATTTTTATGTTTTTATCAATTTTTTAAACAGATTTTAAAAACAGATTTACGCCTTTAAAAATTAAATAATTGGACAAAAATACTAAATACATCTTTTTGAACGTTTAATTTGATATTTATCGAAATGAAGTATTTTTGTGTGCAAGTATAGTACTTCTTTTTTCTCCTTTATTTCAGAGATTTTCAACGCCAGTGAATCGACGTAGCTCACGTGCCCTCTGCGAGGAGGCGAACGTGAAGCCTCGCGAATCCGGCCATAGCCTCGAGGAAACGGAAACACGCCTCGGTAGCTCACTCACCGCCTTCACGGAACTTAAAATCCGACCGGCGATACGTTTTGGAGAACGCTCAGAGAAATACACAATGAACAATTTACTCGGCATTCCTCTCTCTCTCTCTCTCTCTCTCTCTAAACTTAGCATGAAAATAGGATTTAATATTCAAGACAAAAAAATATGCTCTTCTTTATTATTCTAATAGCGCATTTCACTGGCAGAGCTAGTGCGCACTCAGTGCACATTAAAGTCGTTATACACTACTCTAATCTGATATTAAAGTAAGATATCTCAATTGATAAAATGTTTATTGTGTATTTTGTCAAATAACATAATAAAATGTATTAAAAATTTTATGGTTTTAATCATTTTTTATTTTT